GATATTAGATAATTTTAGATATAGATCCACCAGAATTAGATGAATTGATAATTGATGGATAATTGATATTTGATGAGAAAAGATAAGAGTCTTTTTTATAAAGCAGTTCGATTATTATTAATTCAGGTTAAATTATTGCAGGAAATAAAGAATAACCATATAAAAGCAAGATTACTATTATAACAAATAATATTTAAGTTTTTAATAGATTTGATTTATATTCCATTATTCCTTAGACATTTAATACTAGATTAGTCATAAGTTCTTAAGCTGGTTCTAATAAGATTGAAGTATAAGAATGTTTAGATTGGTAAATTGGAGATAAAATAGTACTAGGACCCTCAGGAACTAAATGGGATAATAATGAAGAAAAAACTATTTTGAATAAATCAGGTTGTATTTTAACTTTAGATTCTCCTTTGAAATATGATTATTATGGAGATAAATCAATTACAATAATAAAAAACAATATAGGATAACTTGATATGAGAACTTTGGTGGTTCATTTAAGTAGAAAAATTAAAATAGAGAATCTTGATTAAGGAGGAACTATTTAAATAGTTCATGGTTTAATAGAAAATGATATTTATATTGGTTAATTAAGATTTGAAGGAGTAGAAATAGTTAATTTTGGTTAATTAGATAAAGCAGGGTTAATAATAGAGAATATATTTACTTAAGCATAATAAACAAGTAGTATTATTGGTTGTAGTTTTCATTAAAGTAAAGGAAAATTTTTGAGAATTTCTAATAGTAATATGATTTCTGTTTTAAATAATATATTTTATTCAGGAATAAAAGTATTGGTTGAAATAGTGGATTAGAAATATTTGTAATTTAAAAATAATATATTGATTCATGTGAAAAAAGCAATTACAAGTGAGGGGGCAGTATTGGCAAATTTTATGTTCACTAAGAGTAATATCAATATTTTAAGATAAAATTTAGATATTTCAGAGAATATTGGATAAGGTTCGGAAGATACAGGATTCTATATAATTTCATCATAATGTAATGAAATAAATGAAGCTAATATTTATAATAATGTTTGTTCTTCAGTTTAGAATGCTTGTTTTGCTGTTTTGTAAAGAAGTTTAATATGTGATTCTATTTCTTATCTTTATGCTTATCATAGCAAAATTGGGATAATGTTTTCAGTAAATTCAAAATAATTAGAGATGAAGAATTTTATAACAGCTGAGAATAAAATAAATATAATTTTGAAAGGAACATCAAAAATTGAATGGAATAATATAATGAAAATTAATGATGGATATATTACAGCTGTTGCTCGTCCTAATTGTATTCAATGTTATGATAATATTGATAATAACTATTGTTCTTCTACTTTGGGAATGTAATTAGCAACTATTTCATCTTAATCATCAATTCCTAATACATATAATTTATTATCAGATTAATTTGATTAAATAAGATCTAAATAAGTAATTGATTTAAGAGTTTTAATTACTAATTTAGAATTCAATTAATTTAAAGTAAATAATAATTAAGTTCCAAATTGTGTTGAAAATGCAGTATTCAGATAACACCCTTAAGCTATTGATATGACAGGTGTACACTATTTAAAATTTACACAATGTACAGAATGTGAATTTGAATCTTTATTATATAGATTAAGAGATTCAGATTTTAATAAAATAGGAATATAAGGTGGTTGTGGTTCTATGGAATGTACAGGATAAAAGAATATATTAATTGAAGATTTAACAGGAGATTTCTTTGGAGAAATAGGATAAGGTATATCTAATAATACAGAATTTGGATAGAATGTTTAATATTGTAAAAGAATTGAGTAATGGAATGGTTATTGGTGTCCAGGTAGAAATATTTAAGTATTATATTTTATGAGTACTGCTCCAGATGCAAATACTCGTTTATTTTCTCCTGTTTTGTTATCTGATGGAACTTTTAAAAATATTATTAATAGTTGTTATGAATGGAATTGGTTATAGAGTAAACCATAAATGACAAGAGAATCCAAATTTATAAGTTTAATATCATCTAATTCTACTATCATTGTAAATACAACAGGAAAATACCCTACTGCATCAAAATTTTGGTTATCCAAAAAATCAGATGATGAAGGATAGAATTATGCTATCATTTCTATTAAATTTAATCATCCATTGATACCTAGTTTGAATAATAATGGTGTATTTATTCGTCGTAAAAAAATTATAGATAATGAATGTGGATCTCATAAATATTCATTTTCAGAAAATCTACTTGAATTTACTGTGACTTCATAATCAGATTGTTATATAGAAGTTATAATGAAAAGTTATCTTGAAGTAGCATCTATTTTTAGAGCTAAAAGCTATTTAGATTGCACTTTATTATTATAAGCAATATAAGAACTTTTCAAAATTGATGATAAAAAATTAGAATGTAGTCTACTTAAAAATTAAACAAGAAGAATATTATAAGAATCTGATTTAATTGAAATTGCATTTAAATGGGCCATTATTGATGATGCTTAAGCAGGTACAGAAGAATCATATGGATCAGAAGAGAGATTATCAAAATATATTGAAAAATTATCCCAATTCACTCCAAATCCTGATTATGGAATTTATGAAATTCTTTCTTAAACATTTGAATTACATATTATAACAGAATTAAACTTTCCTAGTTCTGAACCAACCTAATGTAATTATTATTCTTTAATTTTAGTACCTGATTCCTCAGAATCTAATCCAAATATTTAAATCAACACTAATAATTCTGATTCATACTATTCAGATATATCTTTGAGTGAGAATGAAAGTGTAAATTAAGAAACAAATAATGATAAAGTCATTATATCAAAGAATCCTGAACCTTTTGATAACAATAATTAAAATTAAGAGTAAACTTTAATTATTGTTCTATCAATTACAATCCCATTAGTGTTTATCATTGCTATATCTATCATTTGCATAAGAAGACTTAAGTAACGCAAAAGTTAAGTAGTAATTCCTGTTAGTTAAATCTAATAAGAGGATACTACAAACAATAAATTACCTGAGACTACTTTTATGTATAGATCAGCTGTTAAAACACCTAAAGCAGAATATATGGAGAAAATAGAATTTGTTACAAAAATATGAATAAATAGATATTTTCATATAAAGAATAAATAATATATAATGTAATAAAAAAAACATATTATTATTATTA